GGCTTTCATGTCTGATGCCGAATAAATGTATTTTCTTTCTTTCTTTCTTTCTTCACTGTTGGGGCAAACCGCCACCGTATGCTGCTCCGGGTGGTCCTCATAACGTCGACATTCGTTCGTTACCCACTGGCGGATCCGAAACAGGTATCTACCGAAGCTTTTCTTCCCGTTAAGCATACGCGTCAGATGGAAGAGACGAGTAAAATAATTTCCAAAATAAAATTTCAAAATCTTACCCAACGTCGCGTCGGTGATCATCAGTCTAGGCATTAAGAAACTCGATTCTGTAAGTATCCCGGGCACGAAGACTTATGAGGAGCATTAGTCTACTTTAGCATAACTCATACTAAAAATACTCGAGTGTAACAAACAGCGGTATTAGGGAAGGTAATGTCATACCGCGTAATTAATTAGCTGCATTGTACCACCTGCCAGGTAAAACAGAAGACGAAGTTGACCTAAAAGTGTATCGTACGCGCATGTTTGCGAAGCTGACATTAATAACAGCGTTTGTTTGTTTTATCCTGTATTCTCAAAAATTATTGGGATTAAACTCATAACTTTATACACTAGAAAAAGTATTATAACCAATTCCAGATTTTATTATTACAAAAAATAACATTATCAGTTATGAGAACAAATTGGTTAGATACGGCTGAACCTTCTGTGTTACTTGATTCTACGGCAGGTACCGCGGCAATCAATCACAAAATACCGCGATTGTTTAAGAGTGAAATATGGTGATATTAACGGGATAGCTTCCTCCCCCGTGGACCAGATGAGGCGGCCTGTAATTGTGCTCTGATCATCCACCCACATTCATCTTCATTAATTATTTGCAACAATTTGCAACAAAAATAGAATTTGTGTTCGTTTGTCGGACCTTCCGCCGGCGTAGTGAGTGTAGTGTGTCATGGCAATTACGGGGGAAACTTGTCCGTCAACGTTATTCCCTTTGTTACGTCTGTCAAGTCGGAGAATTGTTAAAGCTGAATCCGGAAGTTTACTCCAGGCCTCCGTAGCCAGGAAGTAAACTTGCAGCCACTATACAATAGGCGCTAGAGTTTTATCAAACAAAACGCAGCGAACAGCCGAATCACGCGGCGTTGTCTCTACTATCCTTAATTTACATTACACCAGATACAGTCGCTTTTGTGTGCGAAACAAAAGGGCTTATTAACGGCCAACGCATCCGGCGAAGTGGTATAACCAGACAATTCTTTAGCACTTAGAGAATTGGGGCATCTGCTTTTGTTTACCGGCAGGGCGACGGCGTGGAGACTGCGGCACGGCGGCGTGGCGGCTGCGTCTCCGCTACGTCCCACCCTAATTAATATTCATAATCTCACGAAAGAAACCGCAGTTTATTCATCTTAACTGTTTTATTTCGCAATTTTGTGCTCAAATAATTAATGGACGTTGCTTTGTTCGGCACCTAATTGATTAAGTTCTGTAATTTGGTTATTAATATTGTTTTACTCCTACCTCGTAGATATAAATTATCAGCGGGAATAGCTCAGTACGGCAAGAAGCGGCCACGTTCTTTAATATTGTACATCTGTTGATGATCCCTTTCAATGGAAACAATCAAAGTGTTGATCGTGTCGGTCGCACGTCGAGTCTAATCTCGTAAGCTATTCGATAGCATTTACTCCAAGAGGATTTAAACCTCCTCCACTGAAGTCGGTTTGCTTTGGTTTTCATGCGATAATTGTATACCAGTGAAGTTGTACTTATCTAAAGTGGAGTCGCCTTTTATATTTCTTTGTGAGCGCTATCGTTTGAATGACGGAGCGCGCCTGTTTTTGCCTCACTGAGCCAACATCCACTTAGGCATCGTTTATCATTGTTGTTTACTCTTTGACGCCTTCCCTTTGAGTTAATACCTCCGCTATAATTATTCTGATAATCTATTTATTTAGGCATAGGATGTTTTTATCGTATTTTACAAAGAAGACGGCATCGTTCATTGTTGTTCGTTGTTTTGGGCGGTAAATATTATTCTTAGAGGAAAACATTTACTGAATTGTATTCGGAACAAGTAACTAAAATAATATTAAATTATAATAAAACTATCATTTTGGAAGGTTGGCAATAAAGTCTGGTTGTTACACTTGGTATCTGCAGTAACATCGAGTAGACCGGTTTTAATCTAATTATTTGAGCGAAAGAGCTGTTCTAACAAAATAGTTGAGCACACATACTGCTAAGCGAGTAGTTAAGCTAACACGTGCTGTGCGCTGGGATTACACAGCTTGAAGCAAGCAGCGACCTGGTGTTGCTTTATTTTTCCTCCCAAATTTCTTAGTAGCAAGGTGGGTGCATGAGTGACTCATTTGGTAACTCTGTATATATTAGCATGATGATACTCCTTGGTCTCAAGTTACACTAAAATAAATTCATTTTTGAAATTTTCTAGTCTTTGTCAAAGAACAGCGACTGTTTAGTGTAGTATAAATAATATATGACGTTGACTTGATCCGTTAATATTTTTAATATTTCGACCAAATGTTACGAACACAACAATGATATGGGTAACAAAATACTAACCATGCCCAGATGTAATAACTTTATCTAGATAACCAGCATTTACTTTAACAAGGATACAGTATTTATTACTTAATGTAATGTAATACAGAAGTAGACAAATCACAATGATACAATAAAAGTGTAAATTCTTCAGGGCCAGAGGCATGTTTCAGGTGTTATTACAGCTGTAATGTAGGTGCAGACAGGCTGTAGCCTTTACGAGGCTCGCGAGAACCGGACAGGCTTTACTCAAGGATCAAGGCTAATACCTTGTTCTGTACCGATACTGGCCGGATTATTAAAATAATATCCGCTGGGCTGTGATACCGATGTTACTAGTCACTAAACCCTTTACAATATTAAATGGGTGTGACATGTAGGTAATATTGTACGTTTGTAAGCGCACTCACAAGAAGAGATACACCTGGTATGCAGTAAAGTTTATTGTAAACAATGATATAACAATAATAAAATATTTTCAAAAGAGTAATGATGGAGTTTCTTACTCGTTCTTGTCCTAGCAAATCTCCGCTTTAGAACAAGCACATAGGTTCACTGACGATAGATTGGCGGACTATTATTTTATAGGTTACTTCAATCATTGTTCGAAGCCTTACATTTGGATATAATGCACAAAATTTGTGAATTGAAACTGAACTAAAACAAAACCCAATATAATTTGCTGTGTTTATTATAAAATGAATTTAGAAATTGCGCAAGCAAATGTGAGCCTGGATTACGAGTACAACACACAAACAGTTATTTAATACATCCTCAGTCTGAGAGCAAAGGTATGTAAGTGCTATAAATTGTGTAAGACAATATTTCTCCTTAGTGAAACAATATGATTTCTTTTTCAATTTCTACAACAAAGTGTGTTAATAAGAGTTTCTTGGAAATGAGCAAATAATAACATGTGAACGGCGTTCAGTCGCCGGGAGGAGGAGAGGCCGGCGGTACACCAGGTAGGTACGCAGTGACTACACGTGTACCTACGCTTCCAGTAAAATATTAAACATGGCTCCGTGAGGAATATACTCTGTACTGTACTACTTATTATAACAGTATTATGTTGTACAGGAACAGAGTTCGGGGCTTGTTTATGTTACAACCAGCGCCTCGGATGTTCGCCATGTGGAGCATCCGTTGTTACTGCAACAGTTACTCGTTTATGTGGTCTTAATAATATTGTTTGCACTTCAGTTAGGCTCGCGATAGAGTAACGGGAGGGTTTTTAGTCAGTAAAAGTCTGACACTCCCTCCCGCCCCACCCTGGGCGGAAAAATCATCTGATGATTTTACCGTCACAAAAAAAATAGCGTAATATTAGTTATTCGCATCGGCGTATAACTCCACTGCGGAGCAAAGACCTCTTCGTACGGGAAGAAAGTTTTATCACCACGCTTGCTCAATTTGGTTTTTTCAGGACCTTTTGCTTCACCATTTGTCAGTGGTGTCTAAAATATACTTACATAGTATGAGAACCGGGCTCCTTCACCACCGTCTCATCACGACACTTTCTATTTCACTTTTTCAAGTTTTTTGACACAGATATACACAAACTACATAGTAACGTTGCCTGGGCCATAATTAGCTAGAGTCCAAGTTTGAAATGTTCCCACTAAAGTACATAACAAAGTAAAGTGCGATAAGCCCCAGCACTGTAAGTGATATTTCACAAAATTCAGGTGAAGCTATATTTAAACTTGGGAAGCCTTAACATACTTCACACGATATTATTAAAGTTGTTAAAATACAAGTTTGGAATAGTTCCTGTGTATGTGTGTGTGTGGCTCGCATGAATTATGGACAATGTTTTGTGTACAGTTTTATAAGGTTTATTTTATAGCTGTTTGTGGAAACTAGAATATAGTGCTGAAAGCCAACTTCTAAAAGAGAAACTAAAAGAGATGGACACGTAGACAGTCGTCGTGTCAGATAGTTACAGCCACACGACCATGTCATCGTAACTAAGTGACGCCTCAACTCAGAATATAAGTGTTTAGGGATAATGTTTCAGCACACGTACATCTTGTATAATTAATTTCCTCATCTTTATAGAATACAGCGTTATATTAAAAGGCACTAGAGAGTGAACACGCTGCACACCTGCAGGCGCGAGTTTATCAGCGAGCTACAAATTTATGACGTGATCAGCGTATCGCGGCCCGTAATACCGGTAATGCCAGTAATGAAGTGTTTGAACCGGCAGAGCAACCCCACACCGCCACCCGCCGGTAATTAGACACTACTTCATAACCGCGCGGAAAAAACTGCGTTACTCAGGTAAAAGTTCAGAGTGTTAATGGCATATTTGAAAATAGTTTTCAAATGGTTCGTCGAAAGATTATTGTAAATGAAAGGGTTGCGTGGCACTCACGTATTCAATACAGAATGTGTGAATAAGTACATGAAAAGTGACGACTCGGGGTACTTGCTACTCAGCTAATATTCACGTCGCGTTCTCTTACATCTCAATCCTGGCCTAAATTGGAGTAATAAACATTTATAGCACTTATAACGGGGATCCGGTGCGAGGCGGCAGGGGGCGACAGGGGGCGACACGAGTGCGACACGACGCACGCACGGCGCGATACGGCACGCGCTGCCTATTGTGCCGGGAACTACTGCGTTGCAATTAGGTCGCACGCACGCCTGAGATGTAGGAACTAATAAACTGACTACTTGGATACTAGGTGACTGCTTAATCTTGAAATATGAACTATACATAAGTATTCATACTAAGGAGGAAGAAATTAATGATTTCAATTTGTAACTTGTAACAAAGTCGTGTTGAGTAATTTTACTGCGAAATTTTAAGGAGCTAGTCACATACCTGGTCTTAATATAGGAACGATAAGGTCGGTTAATCTACTACTGAAAAGCTTATTTAGACCTTTTGTGTCTTTTTATTAATTTACCTCGTTCTTTCACCTCCTGACCTGAGGTTCAACCATAAGACAATGTTAAGAGCAGACACTATGACTTTAAACCAGTCGACCCACACGCGCCGGTTCATGTTCATTGTTACCTCGGGTTAAAAGTTACAGACATACACACTCGACATAACAAAAGAAATACTCACAAGCAGTGCCATATCCAAATCGTAATATAAAACGCTAAGCAAAGGCCCCATTACAAATACGAGTGATCGAAAAAGTGAAGTGGTGAGCGGGCCGCATTGTCCGTGCACATCGATGGCGCACCACTTGAGTTGTAACGCCTCTTGCCCTCGAAACCCGCTTTGTATAGCGTACACGCTGTAGGGACGGGGTGCACGGCTTGTTTCAATTCTTTCCACTAACTTTTGTTGCTTTTGTAATGTTGTAAATGAAGGGAATTATAATAACTATGTTCATTGAGTGAATGCTTTGTGTTTCTTACATATTTGTTAATGGTACATTGTTTAAAAATCTAATATTTGCTGTTTAATTGTTAGTTGAAAATTTAAATCACATAGCGTTAGTACAATTATACAGGTAAAGTATCTTTTTCTTCTATTTTATAAGTGTATCACGATAATGTCAATTCGGTCGTAATTTCAAATCTCGAAGCAAGTCTTCAGACTAAACATCTCCGGAGGCAGGGAGCTATCGATTGGCGGCAGCCATTTACAAGCCCCTCACGGCTCATTCATTATAAATTTATCAATTCACTAACCCTTTCCGAGCCAATTAACTAACGCTGACAGGCCAATCAAAACGCCAACGACTGCATTATGTCTGAATAATCAGTCGCCGCGAAATTCAGACGCAATTATTTATCGTTTTGTGCGGAGCTGCCGTGGGTTCGTCCCAATAAATAAACACAATGGCCGCGGAAGACAAAGCGAACAATGCCATTGTTTCTGTGTACGCCGCCGGACGTCGCTGTCGTCGTCGCCAGTCGAGCCACCGCCTTAGCGGGCGGGTTACGCCACGCCAGCGCCACGCAGTCACACCACTGCACGAACCCAAAGACGTCTGAATACTTAATGTGTTCTGCAAATTAATGAAAACTGACGCAACAACGACTTCAAGTTGTCAAGTACTCTACTTCCAATAGTTCAATAGCTCCTGACGCGACAGCTCGTTTTGGATTGAAGTACCAATTCAAATAAAAGGACCAAGATGATGTAGTACTTAAGGATTCCCAGCAATATAGAAATATATATGTCATACTAGAAGGCTTGAAGTACTATTTCAAATGGACCTAATCAGCAAGCAAGTATTAAACGGTTTGCGAAATATGTTCGTGGGTATCCGCAGTCCCATATAAAGAAGTTGCCAAAGTTTTTACAGCTAAAGCCTTTTCAATTTGGCTGGTTTGACTAAGCAGTATTAGTGTTGGCCTCCACAGTGCTATCAGCAGTCTATCAAATTGATTGACACGGGCCTCGCCTACAAAACGAAGAAAAATATGGCTTCAAGCGTTTATTAAGATTGATAGCCGCCGCTGTAGTGATTCGCGACCGGATGCAACCCAATACTGCTTTGCATTTAGCAAATATCGCGTTGTCATTGCTTATTATTACCAATATCAATTGCCAACTGAAATATTCATACAGCGCATTGATTTAAAGTCAAAACAAACAACTATTTGTATGAAAATTGGAGAATTTTATTATTACCCTTCCAATTTGAGGCTAAAAATAGTTGCTATACTGCGTACATTGTCCGTTTTGATCGTGTAATTGAATCAGTGTAGCTTGGTCGCGGATATCGAGCGGGCAATGGAATGAGTGCGCGCTAATAAACACAATTCGGTTGTCGTGTACAAACCGCTCGGAATTTTTAGCGAGCCTCAGCGAACTGGTGTTGTATGGTGGAGCGACGAGCGTGTTCCAATCAGCTGCATTGTTTCTATGACAAGTATAATCGAGCGGCCGTCCCGACAAGTAACCTAATTGATGATATAATTAACTTGTGTTTGTTGTTCCGGATGACTTCTACTTCACAGATTTTTTGTTATTCTGGCGATACCATTCTGTTGTTATCTTTCATGGTATGATTTTATTATACTAACGCACGTAGAGGACGTGCGTTAGTATATCGCCACCGCATATATCAACTCATTTTTACGTTGAAATGCATCTGACTAATATGCATTTGTGATAACAAAATGACTAAAGTCATATAGTAGGTAGGTATAAAAATACATCCAGTAGTGTTGTTACGAAAACTAAAACAATAATCTCGAGTTACGAGCCGGGTTTCTACGAAGCTCTTCAAGTACGGGTACTACTGGCTATAGTGAGTGACTGAATGTACCTTCTGAGTACTGAGAACTTTCTATTCTTTGTTTTAGTATTACTTGAAGAGTGCAATTTATTAATATGTCTACTAATTGTCTGGATTACTGACTAATTGCCCATTTTTTTTCATACACATTCATTGTGTAGTAAGTACCTATACTTAGTGCATAATTTATGTATCTCTAGTACGTATCGGTTTCTAGTTAATATATAAACATTCTTTTGTTTATTTTCAGTTCAGTTCAAATTTTTTTATTGAAAGATGACTGATTGTTCGTTCTTAATACAGACGGCCCATGAACGTAAAAAGTTGTCTTGGATATCTTCATTTAATTATGAGGTCAAGATACAGCATCAAATTTGAATTTTGAAGTAAATTAAATTTTGATATGAAAATCCCTAATCAGATCTCAAATAAGCAATTCCTGGTTCGGTCTTAAGCTGTTTCAGAGAAGCGAGTTCAGTCTGGATAATTCGAACCACTCCAGGCAAGTCTCAAGTCGTCCGGTACGGAAATGCTGTAATAATATTAAATATCCGGGCCGTACCGCCGCCGTGCTGGCACACCGCAAGGCCGGACTGAGACCGCACTGCCGTACGAGCACTGCTCCCATCTAAAACTAACATGTATTTCTTGCTTTGCAATCACGGTTTGATTTCTACTCTAGATTTTCGTCTTAATATCAAATGTAAAGGGAAAATTTACACAAGTGACATCTTCTTTACACTAAACCCACATGGTGGTGACTGAGTAGAACACTCAGTGCCAGCCTGATTCTTCCCGTGGGTGTCATTAAAGTCAACTTAGAATATGAACCGGAGAACAGTACATGTACATGCTGTATTCTTACGTGCTGTCGATGAACAATATTCATATTTTTATTGCACATTGTGTTTGTTGAATATTTCTACTAATGGTATGACAATATTAAAAGCCACTTTACCGATGTAAGTACAATTAGAACGAAACATTTTTGTGAGTATTTGGTAACCGCAAACAGTCGGCCAAAGAAAACATCTCGGGAACTATCGAGCTCAAAGCAAACGAACTACAGAGTAGAGAGCTCCTTACGGACATTCGAAAATTTGATAAAACTTTTTGTTCGTAGAATTTTATTTCAGTGCAAGTGGCTTGTATTCTTTTTGTTTTGTCTACTTTTTGCTAAGTCGAACAAATGTTTGAGATATTTTTATATCTGTTTACATGCAGAGTTCCCACGTGGGAACAACATCCGAAGTGTTATTCAATCGCACAGATAAAGGTACAAGTCCACATATCCCTGTACATCCCGTGTATTATCATCAATCCCTATAAATTATTCTGCCCGGGACGGGTGTAGGTGTCAGTGCAAAGTTTCTGTCTTGTCACGTTATCGACGCAACCATAAATTGTTTGAGCATTTTAAGAATAAGGCGACACCAGCGCCCCCTTTACGCCACGCTGTAGTCCCGACACTACGTCGTGTTATACTTTATTCAGTCGGAATGTTCCCGTGAGAAAATGCTGTTTTTCTACATTTTTCTGCAGAAAATTGTACATTGTGGGCACTTCCGTCCTGCGAGGTGGCGCTAAGCGGTTTGTTTGTTTTTTTCATAAATATTATTCTATTGTAATGATCAATTTAATTAACAGTTATTATAATAACCGCGGTAACCTTTGTGGCTATTAGCGTTCGATTGTATATATTCTGAGCAAGTCTTTCGATTAACAATAATCAATATTCAGCCGAATAATAAAAATTGGCAACACATATTTAGCTATAGTACTATAAAGTCACAACATATACAGTCAAAAGTCACTCTTTATACGTACAAAATCAAAGTTTCATGATCTATAGAAGTTGTAAGAAACCGACATATTTAATTCAGTTCCAGGTTCTACTTCGACCCTCCACACCAACATAATATTAACGAACTTTGGCCACATAGTTCACATGTCCACCACCACACCCACTGGGCTTGGAGTAACTTCGCAAGGCAACAGACACCACGGTACGTACGACATATAATTGAAAAACTAGCCAGAGTTAAGCTCGCCATTAGTCACTAGACAAAAGTGTCGCAAGCAATGTTTGAAAGAAAAAGTTGATGCAAAAAGTTAGTGCAGTTTAAATCTTGCGCTCTCGAGGGACGCTGGAGACTCGCGGAGATGCCGCACACTATAAATGTATTCCCTAAGAATTACCAGGTCCCTGCAGTGTTTTAGTGATTGGCGGCTGCACTACAGTGTAGTGCCAGTGCAACACAGCTGCCAGCTACATGAAATTTATTTTTATTTAATAATTTATTGTGAAGAAGCAGCATTGTATAATTCTTTTAAACCTCAATAGAGCACTATGATAAATGGAACATTTGTCTAGGTTTGGCACAGAATTTGTGAGGGTTGCAGTCATTCGTTTGAAATAGGAATGACGGTCGAGAATATTTGTAGTTCTCAATCCGGTCACCTAAACTAGGCAGCCCATTCCTCTCGAGCCATCATTGCACATGACATTGCGTTGACCTCCACACGAACCGTCCGACTACAATGGCGCGTATCCATTACCTGCAAGCCTAGATCATTCACTACCCTACATTTCTCATCCGACATTTTGCACAAAATCGTACAACCGACACTGCAGTATCGTCGGACGAATGCCCAGCCTTAACTAGGGATGTTAACGCTACGCTCCAGTGGGCAGGCAGCGGCGCGCCTTTAAAATTGAGCTAAGCAATTATTTGACTCGTTCCGGTCATTTTATACGGAAACAGAAAGAATAAATTAGTCCGTATTTATTTAGTGCACA